CTACTATCTAGTTAGTGAATTCTCCTCTCCCTCCCTCCCCACCCTCGTAACTGTCAAAGAATGTTTTCTTCTGTGTTTAAACCTTTTCTTGAGTTCTTATAATAGTGATCTCATACAATATTTGTCCTTTTGTGTCTGACTGATTTCACTCAGCATAATGCCTTCCAGATTCATCCATGTTATGAGATGTTTCTTGGGTTCATTGTTCTTTATTGTTGCGTAGTATTCCATTCTGTGAATACACCATAATTTGTTTATCCATTTGTCCAGTGATGGGCATCTGGGTTGTTCTCATCTTTTTGCTATTGTGAACAGTGCTGCAATGAACATGAGTGTGTGCAGCCGTTTTTGAATTATCTTCAGCAAAATTTTACTTGCGTGTGATATTAATGATATTGTTCAGTAATTTCTGCATTTTTATCCCACTTGTTAGAATATATATCCTAGAGAAATAAGAGACGTCACACGAATAGATATATGCACATCCATGTTCATTGCAGCACTTTTCACAATAACAAAAAGATGGAAACAACCTAGGTGCCCATCAACAGATGAATGGATAAACAAATTAAGGTATATCCACACAGTAGAATACTATCCAATGATAAAGAAAAACGATGAAGCGGTGAAACATCTTATAACATGGAGGAAGCTGGAGGTCATTATGCTGAGTGAATTTAGTCAGTCACGAAAGGACAAATATTATATAAGACCACTATTATAAGAACTCAAGAAAAGGTTTAAACACAGAAGAAAACATTCTTTGATGGTTAGAAGGGTGGGGAGGGAGGGTGAGAGTTATTTACTAACTAGAAAGTAGATAAGAATTACCTTAGGTGAAGGGAAGGGCAACACACACTACAAGGGAAGTCAGCACAACTGGACTAAACCAAAGCTAAGAAGTTTCCTGAATACAATCAAACACTTTGAGGGACAGAGCAGCAGGGGTAGATGTCTGTGGAGCATGCTTTCAGGGGACATCTAGGTCAATTGGCATAACAAAGCTTATTAAGAAAAAGTTCTGTATCCGACTTTTGTGAGTGGCATCTGGGGTATTAAAAGCTTGCGAGCGGCCATCTAAGAAGCATCAATTGGTCCCAACCACCTGGAGTAAAGGAGAATGAAGAACACCAAAGACACAAGGAAAGTATTAGTCCAAGAGACAGA